TCCATGTGAGCGTTTTCTATGAGTGAGAAAATGCTGAAGGAAGGGCTCAGTCCAAGGGGTGGATGAATATGCACACGCAGGGCAATATAGAACTGTTCCCTCTCTACATCCCTCCCTCCAGCCTTCGTTGCTATCTGTAGAATCCTACCATATAAGCACTCTTCTACAGTATCGCGCTGAGAGTGTGTGCGGTCATTTCCGTTGCGGACCAGAACCGATCAGTTCTTCCCTAGCATACTTCGGCCACTGGCCTCCTAAAACTGATAAACTTCAACTGGAGGCTGAGCTCTTCTCAAGGGATTCTTGAAGGTGCGTGGGTAGAAGCCAGTAGTCGAAAAGCGCTTCCACATTTGCCCTCCGTCCTCAGCTTGTGTCACTGCAAGTAACGAAGTTACTCCTTCTACAGGTGTTCCATACGTACTGCTTTTATTACTCGTCTGATGTTTTAGTTTTTACAGATTCAGATTTTCCTGCAGTAACGAAATGGAGATGCGTAGGAACGCCAGCTTTATTGTTCATCATCGTTACACCAACAGCAGGTGGGTTAACGTATACCTTTTTTCGTATATGTGATTAGATATTCGAACAAATCAACCAAAATAGAATATTAAAAAGTTCGATTCCGAAGAAAAAAGATGAAATAAGTTTACCAAACAATCCGAGGGTTTCCAAGAGCCTTGGGACCTGTCATTCCCAAACTGGCCCCATAAGACAGAGGACCACGATAGGTTCTCCCCAGCTCCAAACATTGAGCGCTGCATCGCAGTACTACTTCGCACCCTTGTCGGTTTGCCTATCCCTTCTCGAACCTAATGGACAATAAAAATCTTAAGTTCAATTAGGAGCACGGTGCTCTTATCCCTTCACAATGCAAACCTTGCTTGCCCTTGCTTCCTTAATGTCCTCAGAACCAATCCTCATTGCACATTCTCCCAAGCCAGCTCAAATTTATGACACGAGCGCTTTTCGGGAAGGAGACCTTAGACTTATAAACATAATGTGGGTCCTAATCAGTCCCAACCTCAACAAGTCAGCATTACCGGAGATAGAATAAGCTATAGGGAATGAATGCCATTGTAGTACGGTCTCAAGACTGATATTGATTGATTGATCAATATTAGTATCATCATTGCCATCACTAATTAATTATCATTACCACTGATTATTGAATACAAATTTGAGCTCAAAAACGGACCACGTTTTTTGAGAAGTAGTGACTGCTGTGCCATTTCATCTACTCGAGACATTTCAGGGCTGTTTGCTTTCATTACTACCCTCGATCGATTTTACTGTGTTATGTTCCCTTTGAAATACCTTAAACGACGAGTCACTTATGCGCTTATAGTAATGTTTTCGGCATATTTTATAGCAATAATACCTGTTGTAACAACAATTATGCACAGCTATCCCTTCAGGTTTATCAGCGACGTGAGTTTCTGGTTAATATTATGATTTTATTAGAGAGCTCAAAATTTTGTGAAAAAACCATTAAAAAAAAGGGATAGTTACGGACCATTTTCACACTAAATAAGCCTCGATAAATTGCAGAGCTCTGTGAACCTTGAAGCAATCCTCATTGGTGGGACAAACCCGCCAATGAGATGCGTGCTAAACTTGGACAAATCCCGCCCCTAATTTGAATCGTAGTCGATAATTTTTTAACTTGCAGAACATTATTGATTTTTAGCAACCAATCACATGCAGTCTCGGTAACGCTGTTACAGCTGCGGACTTCATCATGCTTAGGGTTATTCGTGTGGTATCCACACTATCCTGCGTATTGATTTATATTCCAATATTTCTGAAGATGTATAAGGTACATTTTAAATTCACTAAATATCTACCAAATTGTAAAAGCTGTTCTAAATTGTTTAGAATATACGTGAGCACCACCTCATCACGAACCAAGGTGCGAGAACTCAGAAAAAGTTACTGCGAATGACATTTACTATATCGCTCATCACGTCAAATACTATTCTATTTTTCACCGTACCCGATATTATTATGTTATATAATCCAGACTACGAAAGCAATATATTTTTTATAATGAATCTGAACAAGGTAATGTAACAACGAGTTTTTTCGATCAAGTAAAAACTCTCTGAGTCAACTCTTCAAATATGAGTTGGCCAATAACTTAGGAGGACTTCTTATAAAAAAAAAGGTAATGCTGGTTGTGAAGAAACTTTTGCAAGCTTTCATTGGAGGCGGAAGGAGCTTGAACGTGCCTATCTAGGAAACATTGATAGTTCACGGCTGTATGCCAGACGATAGGAGGAATCGACGCATCAGACGCTTTTAACACCAAAGATTGGGTTTCGCGAACTACGGCTTAGGACCCAATAATAGTGCTACTGGGATATCTTTCATCGCCATAACGTCCCAGTGCCCTGGTTTTCATCTGACCAGCATTTTAAAGCGCATCCTTCAATATGTGCACGTCCCTTTTATGATGTCCACTGCTAACCCACCTAACCCATCATAGAACTTTGACTTCTTTCTCCCTACCATCCCATATCTCAACAGAGACCTTCAGCAAACCGTATCAGTAAGTGGCACTGATCTTCCCCTGGAGCTCCCTGAACCCTGGGAACATGGCGCCAACCTTGCTTGAGAGTCCAGGGTTAGCGCCATATTTACAGAGTCCAAGGAGGCCCAGGTTTGGACAGACGATGAATAACTTTTCAACTAAAAATAACCCTTCATTCCTACTAATCCAAGTTTTTGAAGGTGGGAAAATATGTTCCCCGGGTTTACATCGATATTCCCCGAACTCGAATGCAATGTAATAAACAGAATCGCTCCATCTAGGAGGAATTCCTGACTGCATGCTTGCTCCGCCTAGAATATCATAAATCACATCCATATTTCAGTCCAGAAACGAAATTGGAAGCAGATTGCGCTAACTGGTTGCCCGTCACAGATTGTGGATCGAGAGTGCATAAAATAGAGACTATCTAATATAACTAAACAGAACGATACCTTTAATCCTGATCGAATTCCTCGAAAACTGAAGCTAGACATCCAAATGGATTAGGAGCAACTCTATCTGGCTAGCTGGAGCAGCGAAAAGAATGCCTTCAGTGTTTGATGTGGCCGATGGCAGAGAGGGTAGGTAACAAGGGTAGAGGTCTATGATGTACCTCAGGTCCCCACAGATTAACAAAGAACTCTATCTTTACAACCTCGCTACCCCCAGTTACGACATCGTACTATCAAAGCTTGTAAACCTACTCCTATTGCGAGCGGTACTTCAATACAGTGTAAAAAGTAAGCCCAGTTCCACTAAATGAGTGCTTCCTGAACAAGGTTATTCACAAGAGGACATCTCTTCTGACAAGTAATCATTCTCTCCAAAGAGAAGGTTTTTGCTGTGATCCCATGGGGGTGAGAGAAATTCGTCAAGCATTTGCCACCCTGAGAGGTACCTCCATTCGCCCAGCGTTCGCATTAATTGAATAAATCCGTTGAATGTGGGAATGTGTTGCGTGGGCACAATATCTAACTGATATATATTATTTTACTAAAGCTGTAAGTATTTTAGGGTATCGTAAACATTATTATATTTCTGGTTACTCAACGGACTCTTCGTCGAGTTATACTTGGCAAGCAGGGTAATAGCGAGATAATGGTAAGTGCTAAACTGCTTAAGCCGTTGAGAGTGAGAAAATGCATACAACTTCATTCGCGAACTTATTTAAACCACTAAGCCGTAACCAGTAAGCGGTTTCCAAGGATTAGATGGAAGCTTTGGAAGCTTTCTTACTTTTCAAAAGAATTTGGCCCACGTCATTACTGACTTACTTCCTTTCAGGTCTCGGTAAAAACTGGTGGGAAAACGATCACATGTTCACCACCCAAGCCTGATACTCCACTTTGATTTCTTCGATTTGAAACTCAGATCAAGGCGGATTTTGGCATTCCGATTCGCTCTTCTGCCCTGAATCAGGTTCAGGCTTTTCCAAAAGTTATGGTTACGTGGCTGAACCGCTGGAACGTTCCAAGCCCGAAAAGAGCCGACTTCTCGAGTAACCCTCATCTCATCTGTCATTGGAAATGTCGTCATTCACGCTACTGGTATACTCATTCCAAAACTCATAAAAAGGCTTTCTGACTCCATTGTATTCCGATTCTATACCTTTATTCCAAAGTACCATACCTTTGCAGTACGTAACAAAGTGATCTCATTATTCGCCTCACTTTGTCTATTTCCTTGAACAAGTGATTTGACTACCATTTTTTTTTGTGATGCAAATAAATATCTATTCTTCACTGGGAAGTTATTCTAAGAACATCATTCCTTGTGCATGAAAGCCCAAAGAAAGCGGCATGTTCATTAGATGCCCGTTCTCTGGATCACTTTTGGGAAATCGCTTCCTACAGAGCAGAACCCAACTCCTCTCTTCAATCAATGAGCATGAGATGTATGAAACTTAGGCTAGAAAAGTGAGCCATTTGCTTCAACAAGCGCTGTTTCGAATTCAATTGTGCTGCTCTTCTTTTATCATTATTACTACTGAACTCGGGCTGCGTTGGTGAAGTGGCAGGCGGCGCGCTATCACACACGCATAGTCAGGGTTCAAATCCTGGATTGATACATGCCTAGGCCAACCGAGCCTTCCATCCTTCCAGGCTGATCAATTGGTACCAAACCCGTCTGGGAGGATAAAAGCGCTGACCTGTACATCAACTGGACAAAGGAAGTCATTATATAGATCATATACGCATTCAACAAGCCACTAGGATTCTGAATGGAAGTCGAATGCTGGGCGCATCCTTTAGACGGGATTGATAAACACCAAAACCTCTATCCTTGTCCTTTATCAATTGTTATTGAATTCAATTCCTTGCACTTCTCAGAGAAGTAGAATACATAGCACTTCTTTCGTAATAGGACCGAAGGCACAGCGTCAAAGCGTTGAACAGACTTCGACGTCCCATCATAGGATGTCAACACGTTCAGCTACTCTTACAGTCTTACAGTGGTCTTACATTCAAAATCGTCCGAATTTATAGGGCAAATGGATCCTGTTGAATTTTGAATGCTCCAAAAGCGAGCTCTTAATAGCAAGGCTTTTAACTCAGAGTTTTTCATTTAGAGTCGCTCCGGCTAATTTTTGCGAATGTAGGGTCACATGGGCATATTCCACTGGACACCAAAAGACCTTGTAGATGAACCCCTAGTGTGCATGAGATATGTATGTTTCCCAAGATTATTTCCTGAAGAACTCTTCCAGTCACGAAATTTCTATAAATTCAGCACTTTAATGATGGGTGAAGCTTCTTTATGAAGCTCCCACATTGATGCCGATAATCAGCGCCTGCTCTGAAAGTTGCTCAAACAATTCCTTAAACTTATCCTTGCTGAGCAGAGACGGAGTGAGTATCATATGGCGTCGCTATAGTATGAGTAGTCCTCGATCTAGCCCCAAACCGAGCCTGAAACCAGTCAACTACATGACTCCATTCCTCTGAAGGGACAAAAACACCATCTTCCACATTGATGAGCTTCCGCAAGCCATTATCTATGAAGAAATGTCGCCATTCTGAACAGACAGAACTTGAAATGGGTGGTCCGGTCTGAAAAAGGGAATCGATCACTGAGCCAAGAAGCTCTCTACACTAACGACATTTTATCATCTGAGCTCGAACGGCTATGCCAGCCGTACTTCTAATGCTTGTCTAGCAATCGGAATGATATTAAGCCACGTGAATTCCCAGGAGTCCAAGGATTTCGGCGGAATTCTCGTTTTACTTGGAGTCCCTACCATGGCCCTCAGGTAATGCCGAATGTAACCCGAAAAAAGGGTTCCCTACTCTTTTCAATGCTGCCACTGCTCTTTTCATTCCAAGTAAGCTCTGCTGTATATCTCGAAACGAAATAGGAATTTTTAAGGGACAAGTTTTCCTACAGTAATCCTGCCAGAGAGCCAACACTGAAAATTTTCAGGGCTGACGACTGTATCTACGAGGTCTTCCAGGACTTCCTTCCAGCATGCTGACTAGGACCATGAAACGGGGAATTTTCAATTACTATGCTCTCTAATCCATCCAGATAATGTCGTTTGCGTAGCCCATCTTTAGTACACCGGTTTGACTCTGATACCCATGTAGTCCGTGATTTAGATGTCCATTTGCGACAAAAACGAATTGAGGTGTAATGGGCCTATTGACGAAGCGTGCCTGATGGTCTCTCGGGGGTGTGCGCGAGAACTGGCAGCCAGAGCCAGGCGAGTCATCGTCGTGGGGCGTCGTTGTCGTCTATTCTCGTTTCTTCAGACCCTCGTGTCTCATCCACCCCGTCCTCGTTTGTTTTCGTTTCCATTCTCTCAAGTCTGCCGTCTACGGGGTTACCGAATACTCACATTGGCTCTTATCTCCATCATGTGACAACGTGATAAACGTTGAACATTATGGTAAGCTTCGCATTTGTGATGAGTTCTTCTCATCAGCTCCTTGCCAACCGTTCTTGAAATTTCTCCTGTTTCCAGCTATTATTCCGTTCCATCACCTTGTGTATGGTATACCTACAGACATGGCATATGACTCTTGCTAGTCCAGATGAATATCGCCTTCTGTCTGATCTCCGTCATAATTACGACCCATACGAGCGGCCTGTGGCGAATGCATCCGAGCCATTGGTGGTTAGCGTGAAAATCTATCTTCAGCAAATTCTAGACGTTGTAAGTTCCAGTTGATCGAGTTGTTTCGCGTCCCCAATCCCCACTACTCTATCGTAGGATGAGAAGAACCAAGTAATTACTCTGGTAGCCTGGATCGAATATCAATGGACAGATTACAAGTTAAAATGGCAACCATCAGAATATGGCGGCATCAAGGATATTCGTGTACCGGGCAATGCGAATGCAATTTGGAAACCTGATGTCCTTCTGTATAACAGGTAAATAAGAAATTTGAAAATAATACAGTAATAGAAAGAAAACAGTAAATATAAATAATTATTAATTAGGGTGAATTTGCTGTACTTTCAGTGCCGACGAGAATTTTGACTCTACATATCCAGTGAATTATGTTGTTAGCCATAATGGCCACGTACTGCAGGTCCCACCTGGTATACTGAAACTTTCATGCAAAATCGATATCACATATTTTCCATTCGACGATCAAATGTGTCATTTAAAGGTAATCAATAATCCATCAATATTTAACGTTGTTATTGTTGATCGCATAGACATGTATAATCCTTATTAGACAACACGATTGGTAAGTGAGAAAAGTCATTTTCAACAAGCTTCAAGGTATTACTGTAGTTAAAATACAGTAAGACCTTGAAGCCACTACCAATTTCAATTAATCTTCGGATATTTCCAAATTTTAAATATTCTTGGAAACTTCTTCTTACTAATTGGAGTATTATTAAAAGAATTCAATTAATTTTGCCGATTACGATATCTGGGATATACAAATTACACATATGTCAGCGTTGGTTTCAATGCAGTTTTATGGTAGAAAATTACCCCTCAGAATACTAAATATTACAAAAATAATTCTACAGTATTACTTGCTTAGATACCAAATTACACAAAACAGGATACTATACAACTTTCTTCACCACTATCTTGCACTAGGACCTGGAGACATTAGCTCGTGCACGCTGACTACAGTAATTCTACTGCAGTAGAATTAGAACTAGCAAACCAGTATAAAGGCTACTGTCAGAAAAAAGTAACCATTAAAGTGAGAAAATGGCAGCCCAAACTCATCCAATACTTTCCTGAAACGAAGAATTGTTGCATTGCTTCTATCGTGCCCTCAAAGGGAACATTGCAATTACGAGCTCCGTAAGGTAATCGTAGCTGAACTATATAACTAGTAATGATACTACTAGCTTAAGTAATAGCTTTTCCAACTTTCTATAGACCTTTAATGAGTTTTAATATAATGGAAGCCCACAAAAATTCAGTAGTCATCAAGTAATCTTCGCTTCGAAAAGAAATGTGAAAAGATCCGCGGATCAGTACTGTTAGTACTTGTATCAGTACTACTACTAGATATTGTTGCAGATTACTTATTATTATTTCGTACTATTGAGCCGATTCTCTCGTCAAATGTTTAACTAGCCGCGGGGATCATAATTACGGCCAACCGAACATAAGATGATACTTTGTTTGTGAGGGATTCCTAACGGGGCGCGTCCTGCTCTTTATGGTGATTCTGATTTATGTCGCTCACGTTCTGTGAAGCGAAATGAATCCCAGTTTTGTCAATGACACATCGTCTGCTCGTGGACGTAACGTGACGGGGGATTTTCAACGTTTGCCCCGTTGGTAGCGATATGATCGAGTACGCAGTAATCGTTTAACGTAAGCCGTAAGCCGTAAGCCATCTCTGTCGGACACCTCATTCTCCATCATGGGGACGTGAGGCTGATGGCTTTACGGGGAAAAGACGGGGGGTACTACTTGGTGTAGCGATGGAAACAATGTTAAACTTGATGAAAGACCAATTTCAGTTCGGTTCGTGGACCTATAGCGGCAACTTCATTGATTTACGCATCAACGGGCCCGAGGGAATGAACATATCGGAACAAGGAATGGACATATCATACTATGTTGAAAATGGCGAATGGAATCTATTAGGTAGGTAATTTTAACCACTTTAGCAATACTCATTGAAAAGTAAATTCAACGTCCTTTTTACGAAGTAATCATTTTCAATGTTTCGCTTCTAATTGTTTTGTTCTTGCCGCTGTACTACCCTAATCGATAGAACTTGGACCCCCGCTTGAGCTTGGGCCGATACTGATCGATTACTTGATGTCTATCTTATGATCATTACCTAAGTTGTAACTTCTGTGAAACCTTTAATTACATATTCCAGGGATCGCTTTTGAACTTTGAAAAACATGAAGTAAATAACGGAATAATAGCTTGGTAACCAGTAGGCGAAACAAAATTCAAGGTTTAGAATGAAACAAAGTAAGAATAAAACATCATATCTATAGCGAACAAAAATAGAATGAAACGGAAAATAAAGTCTATCGATTTGCTTAAACCTCGAAAACACCTTTGCCCTCCACCCTGTTCTGAACTCTGTTCGGAAATAAAGTTTTACTCAAGGCTCCCTAGCCTCCATACTCATTAAAAGGAAGTCAATAGATTACTCGGCTGTGGTCAGTCTGAGGTGCTCTGTATCAAGCACTCTGAGCATATAAACCCAGCAGGTTTCTTATTTGCACTATTGACTTCAGAAATACTATTCAAATACAATAAATTATCGGTTTTTGAGAGGTGGGAAATACCCGGAATGGGCCTGGGCCCATAAAGACACCAGCGTCCACCGTTTCATCGTAAAACTTTGCGGTTTCGGTCGATGATGATTATTTGGTCGTGCTTTGCGTTGAGAAGTATTTGATTTCTTTGGAGAAGCGAAAAGCCTCAAGGGGTAAAAGCCTCCTGCATTGCACTCTGCCCCGCACCCACCACAAATCCTTTCGAGAGCTCCTTTGCTCGCTTGGGTCGCCATCTCCGATTAGTTTTGTACTTTCAAAACGTTATGCAAATATTCAAAAGTAGGAATTAGTTTTGCCGAACTTCCGAACGGGTCCGCTATTGCATTTCTTTGACAGCGGCAAGATAGTATAATAATGTAAGCATGAATCAATAATTAACAATGCGCCACGTACTCAACTGCCTTCAAAAACGAGAAACACTTTGAATCAATGATCTACGATAAAATTTTAGAAGCCAAATAAAGATAAAATCGTCCTAATGAGTCCGGAATAGGCTAGATTCAGTCTCCGGAAGTACCTGGCAAACTTAAGTGACTGGTCTGATCTAGATGGGGAAGTTACCATGACTCCATTCATAGAGTATGCTAGTAAAAGCGCTATTGCACTAGTACTACCCTGTATAGTACTAAATGAGTCATTTGAAAAAGTGTCTAATCAAAGAAAAAATTCAAGAGAAAAAGGAAAATGGATCGAGAGCTATTGATGCAAAATCCATTGGCAAGGATTATATCGCATATTGTGCCGTTCCGAAGGACGCTGTTGGAAATTGTTATAAAAAAGGGATAAATAGACAAAAACTTTTCATTATTTAAATACTCTTGTGCCGTGCGAGGTTGTTAGATGGAACGGTTTATTAATTCAATGGCCTAACGTTTCGACGCTATCATCTTCTTCAGAAGCCTAAAGCAATTACAATTTATTAAAAATTTAAAATTTAAAATAAAATTTAACTTTTACTTTAATCAATTTAGCAATTAATTAAAGTAAATGTTAAAAACTTTCTACTTTATTGAAAGCCATTCAACAGCTGTACATTAACACTTACTAAATGAATTTGGAAGAATAGATGAGTGAAACCTGATGATGCCGATGCAAAAACACTTACCGATGGTGGACCGATCGTCAGTGAATAGGCTATAATCTCCGTTTATTGCCTTCTTGGTCCCTGGACTCAAGCCCTATTAGATTCATTCCAGTATTCCTTTTTTCAGTAGGTGATCGTTCAGTGCTAGGCTGGATCAGAAAGCTGAAAAAAGAAAAAATATATTGAAACTCTCCACAACTCTGAACGACTGCAAAAGGTGTTCCGAAAAAATCAATATCTCAGTCAAGTCATTTGAAAAGATGCAAAAAGGTTTTTTGAATGGCATGAAGAATTTTTATAAGGGAACACGGAGAAAAGGCCCCAAAAATGATTACAGTACCAAATTACTGATTGATTACTGATTGTAAAGTACATATTGATTCAGCCGTACCCGCTCGTAATGAGACAAATGTATTCGATGATCAACCATATCCTTCACTGTACTTCTATCTTGTTATTCAAAGGAGAACATTATATTACGGTATGTTCCATACAGTATCCCGGACAGCTTATTTCCGAAAAGGCACCTTTTCAACGATTTCAGGTCTTAACTTAATTATTCCTTCGCTTCTCATATCGCTCATGACGGTTCTAGGATTCACTCTGCCCCCTGATGCTGGAGAGAAGATCACTTTGGGTAGGTATGTAGTGGGACCTGAGGCTCCCTACTTTCGTTACAATATTTATTGTAGAGGGTTTTACAGCCAAAATAGTTGCTGAATGATTACTTCTGAATTTTTCTTCTTTAGAAATTACCATACTTCTATCAGTTTGCTTTTTCCTCAGCATGGTTGCCGATATGACTCCACCTACTTCTGAAGCAGTTCCATTAATAGGTATATTTTCACAGACTTAAATGCTTTGCATTGCTACCAAAAATCATAAAAATATGGTAAAAAGCTTGTAGGCTAGGACAGTTATAAAGGGAGCAGAAATACCTTACCACTTCCTAAGTAACAAGATTGAAGACACGTCCTCCTAAAATTTCTCGAGCTTACGAGTAAAGGAACAGAAGGGGACATACTCGTAGGCACACGGCGTCAAGGGAATGCACGGAGTGACAGCTTTATACGCGTTTTTTTAAAATTTTCTTACTTCATCGCATAGGGACCAAAAAACCCTCGTCACACTCTGAGAGTCTGCGAGAGTCTGAATCCCCCCACTAGCTTGCCCTACGAGAGTCTGTTAGATTGGATTGTTCCTGCCCGGTTTGTTCCCTATAATGTTCTCCCAAGAATTCACGAATATGACAAGTACTCCTGCATTTGAAAACTGACCAAATCGAGCCGGTTGCTTTGACTTCTCATCCTCTGTTGTTGCTGGAAATTGCGTCCCCTCGTCCCATAAGTGTTCGGCATCGGAACCGGCGTACGCATAATGAGTGTGACGTCTTGCTGGGATCCTTGAACTGGCATTGGACTGGACCATGACTACAAAAATACGGAGATTCATTCCGTTGTACCCAGTTAGGCATTATGTAATCTAAAGAAACAATCCAACATGGCACTTCTACACAGACCTGCATCCGTGTTTTGAAGCTTTCACATGAGCATCTTCCATCATAGAGAGCAACCTCCAGTGATACATAAGTTCAGTCATGGCAGCCTTGTTTCTGCCATAATGGAACTTATCTTTTGATATTTTTCTCAGCCATTTTTCCCCTAAATGGAGATTGGATAAGAGACGAATATCACGACAGTGAAGCGCGAAGACCTTAACCTTACGTATTTGAAATCTTCAGAGACACTTTTGTCAACGACTGGAGCATGGTAACGAGGCTTTTCTGCTATGAAATTATGATGAGCTATTTTACAGCTCTACCTGGAACGCTGTTGATTTAGGTGCATTTTTCTCTTGTTGTATGTTGGTGGTGTCAGCATCCGTTGTATTCACCGTACTCGTTCTCAATCTTCACAATAGGAAACCAGAAACTCATGAAATGAGTCCATTTGTGAGTTTCTTTTGTAACTTAGGAAGTAAGTTTCTATTAGAATACATACATGTAGATGAGAGAAGGTTCCCTTCCCAGCTTTACCAATAGGGACTGAGCAGCACCGACTTTGCGCCAACTCCTACAGGTGGCACCTATAGAAAACTGCCCTCCCCAGCAACGGCTGACACTGTCTACACTTTTGGTGATCCATTCAGTGGCCGACACTGGATATACCACTTCGTTGCAGAGATGCCAACCCACAACACTACGCAATTTTCTTCCCACAACATTGTGCAGTTTTCATCGATTTAGTGATAAATAAAAGCACCCACCTTAGTTGATGGTCCAGTCAGGCAAGTCACAAAACAGCTGTCCTTTACAGCAATACGATCACTTATTAAACTCTGCTCAAAACAGAGTTTTAAGACGGTTACAAGCATTACTCCTGGATTACAACCCACGTATACGGGTTAGCTTAATCATCGGATGCATGAGCGTTTTTAGAACTTTCGGTGATCTGAAAATGGCAGCCAATGAGGTCGTCAATGAGTTGCGCGGAAGTTGGACAGGTCACTGAACTCTTTGATTAATGTGTTTGGGGAGCTCCCTATGTAATACAGCGAAGCTTTTCGGCTAAGAACACGCCCCCGGTATAACAAATCAGAGTTTAGTGGTACTGGACAGTAAAGTCGGGCCCAATTGAATATCACTACATTGGTGCTTTCTTTGGAAAAGCGTTGTTCCTAACTCTGACGCTTCTAGGACCTATTTTCACATGAATTCTTTCCTTAAACCCCCTTCCGCACATTTCCCAAAGGATTACTGAAAACTCATAAGAATGGCTAGGCATAAGCAAAACGATAGTTTCGGTCAGACCATTAGCCCGTATTTGTGCTTTCCAGTCACCACTCTTTTTCTTCTAGACGGGTCAGAAGTTCGCTTATCATATGGTCCCCCAAATTTTGAAATTGCATACCTGCTTTAGCTCTCTCTATAGCTCAAGGACAAAAATCGATATGAAGCTGTAAACATAAAGTGTAATTCTGAAATAACAAAATGCTATTCTCCCTTGTTGGATGACCCGAGGAGGCCAATCAAAATGCATGCTTTTTTTGATAAGAAAATCGAAAACTACCATACGATACCAGGCTGTATGATTACGGTCTTGCACAAATCTCCTCGCTCAGACAGTAAAAGTCTACCGTATGAATCCATTTGCTTCCCTACCTGTTCTCTATTTCCAGTTACGAGAATGCTTATTGATTTGGCTCCCATGGATATTGATGATGCGCCGCCCTGGCACCACAGTTTTCAATCGTCGTGAAATAAAAGTAGGTTTTTCTAACAGGAAGATTTTTCTCATTCGCTACACCAACTTTGAGGAAATGTTACATTGACGCACGAAGCCTGGTAATATTTCATGTTGTCAGTCGGGTCGCTTTTTTTAGTTAAGAAGTCGTCATCGAGCTCCAAACTTAGCCTCATTTCAGGCCCCTGGATAGCATTTAATCACAAACTACAAATGTCTCGAAAATGGAACCCCACGATAGTTTTTCCTCTCATTTGTCATGAAATCCAATTGCATCTCGGCGAAGCAGTTGAATTCGCCTCCAACAGAAGGCATACGCTTTACTGAGAGTTTAGGGAGGCACAGGGATCCCGAGAAATTTAGGGACACGTTAATGGAAACACTGGGTGATTCGGAGAAGGGTTAAAAGCTAGTACCAACCTGGCAGAAAATGTGAGTGGCAAAAAACAAGAAACACCAAACTTCAGGCGAAAAAAGCCGAAGAAATGGCGAAGAAAACAGAAAAGCGGAATGGTCGGTCAATGGAGGGTGCTGTAGGTGCCACTGACAGCCTGTCACTCATCAGAAGCATTCGAGCTGATAAAAACGATCATCAGACCATCGAAATGGGGCACGTCACGACTGGTAAGTTTTCGAGAAATTACTAAAATTACGTCGAAAAATTTCAAATTGCGTTTTAGAACAGGTCCCGGCTTGTATGGGGTGTTTTCAATTAATTTCATCGCCTTTGACACCTTTTGATTGTAATTAATAGATTTGAGCTTTGAAATAGTCGAACAATTGGCTTCCATTATACACTTTGCAGATATATATGATTAGCTATTTATTTATATTTGCTCATTTATTTATACGCTTGAAACACTACCGAACAAAAATCTATACAATTTTTGAGAAATGAATTCCATAGCTGTGCGCCAGCATATGGAACCTACATACTTACTTGCCAGACATAGCTGATGAGATGGCAGCGCAACTAAGAGACTAGAAACCTAGAACAGGGTTTTCGCGTTTATAAGGAACACCCCTCCAGACCTCAAACGCTTCCTTGATGGAGTTGCCTTGATTGAATAATTCCTCAAGTTGAATTTCATATTATTTTCACCTCACGAACGTCAATCGACCTTTTCATACTGCACGTTCTCGTCACTATGGCGCATCTTCACGTGTTCTTATTACAATAACTCTTGTCCGATCACTGGCATCCATTGGAACGGTGTGAATCTACCGCATTACTATTACAATGCTGTCTGATGGTGGTACTGATGGTTGACGAGACACTAGTAGTTTATTAGTGTCCACTACTCACGATATTGCGATCACGCTGGGTCATGGATGACAGTCATCATTATAGAAGAACATTACTATTTACGTCAATTTTGCTGAGGACCACTTTGAATACCCGTTTTCCGTTCCTGCTCTCGTGAGAAATATTCAAGTGGGCGTGTGCCTGGGGTATACATTTGCTGAAGGGGATCGAACTGACCTGTGGCGAGGATAAGTGACGCGGTGCTAAAATGCGGATTGATATCGAAATCTATGCCTGAATCCCAATAAACTGGAAAATAGACGTGGAATGTTTTCGATAGTGGTCTCACAGCATTTGACGGCATTTTTTTATTTATTTATTATTTATTTATTTTTTTATTTATTTATTATTTATTTATTTTTTATACATGGGAGCGAATGGTAGGTGAAATGCATAGACTGAGCCAAGATGTGCGGTTGGTACGGAGAAATTCATACGTACAGCGGCACCTTGTTGTTTTCTACGCTGTTGGTATCTGGCCTGCTACCTGAGGTAAACAGCTAAACTACTTCAAGTGTCATGAAAGTACAGCGAAGGTCTAGCATCGCCCACAAGAAATGGGTCATCCACTCCATTTCCTTCTTTAGCTTCTTCGTCTCCACCCTTCCTCGCTTCCTTGTCATCGTCTTCTACCTTCGTGGTCTTCTTCCTTCCTAGACTTTTCCCTTCTTGGCCTTCTCCGTTCCTGGCCTTCTCCTTCGTTGGTCCCTTCCCTTCTTGATCTTGGAAGTTCTTGGTCTTCTACCTTGTTGGCCCTCTACCTTGTCCGTCTACTCCCTTCATGGTCTTCAACCTTCCTGGTTTCCTGCATTCCTGGCCTTCTCCGTTAGTGGCCTTCTCCTTCATGGCCACCCTTCTTGGCCTCCTCCCTTCCTAGTCTTGTCCTTCTTTGGTGCTCTAACTCCTTCACATTCCTGCTTGGTCTTCTTCCTTCTCGCTCTTCGAAATTCTTGGTCTCCTCCTTCTTGGTTATCTCCCTTACTGGCTTCCTCCATTCTTGACATTCTCCGTTCTTGGGCTTCTCCTTCCTTGATGCTCTCCATTCTTGGTCTTCCACCTTCTTGGCCTTCTACCTTGTTGGCCCTCTACCTCCTGGTTTTCTCGCTTTCTTGCCCCCTTCCTTCTTGGTCTTCCACTGCAAGCCCTCTCACTTCTTGGTCTTCTACCTTCTTGTCCTTCTCCGTTCCTGGCCTTCTCCTTCCTTGGTGCCCTCCCTTCTTGGTCTTCCTCCTTCTTGGCCTTCCACCTTCTTGGCCTTCTACTTCTTGGTTTTCTCGCTTCCTTGCCCCCTTCCATCTTGGTCTTCTCCGTTCCTAGCCCTCTCCCTTCTTGGTCTTCTTCCTTCATGGTCCTCTACCTTACTGGCCTTCTCCTTTCTTCACCTTCTTCGTTCCTGACATTCTTCCCACTTGGTGCTCTCTTTTCTTGGTGCCCTCCCTTCTCGGTCTTCTACCTTCCAGACCTCCTTTCCTCTCCTTCTCCTTCCCTTCTCCTGGCCTTCTCCTTTCTTGGTGTACTCCCTTCTTAATCTTCTACCTTCCAAGCCTCCTCCTTTCTTGTCGTTCTCCGTTTCTAGCCTTCTCCGTTCCTGACCTTCTTCTCACATGGTGCTCTCCCTTCTTGGTCTTCCACCTTCTTGGCCTTCTACCTCTTGTTTTCTCGCTTTCTTGCCCCCTTCCTTCTTGGTCTTCTTCCTTCATGGTCTTCTACCTTACTGGCCCCCTTCTTTCTTGACCTTCTCCGTTCCTGACCTTCTTCTCACATGGTGCTCTTCCTTCTTGGTCATCCACCTTGTTGGACTTCAACTTCTTGGTTTTCTCCCTTCTTCGCCTCCTCCATTCTTGACATTCTCCGTTCTTGGCCTTCTCCTTTCTTGGTGCCCTCCCTTCTTAATCTTCCACCTTCTTATCCTTCTACTTCTTGGTTTTCTCGCTTCCTTGCCCACTTCCATCTTGGTCTTCCACTGCAAGCCCTCTCACTTCTTGGTCCTCTACCTTCCTGTCCTTCTCCGGCCATGGCCTTCTCCTTCTTTGGTGCCCTCCCTTCTTGCTCTTCCTCCTTCTTGGCCTTCTTCTAGGTTCCTAGCCTTCTCCTTCCAGAGTGTCCTCCCTTCTTGGCCTTCTACATTGTTGGCCTTCTACTTCTTGGTTTTCTCGCTTTCTTGCCGCCTTCTTTCTTGTCCTTCTCCATTCCTGACCTTCTTTTCACTTGGTGCTCTCCTTCCTTGGTGCCCTCCCTTCTCGGTCTTCTACATTCCAGGCGTCCTTTCCTCTCCTTCTCCGTTCCTGGCCTTCTCCTTCCTTGGTGCTCTCCCTTCTTGATCTACTACCTTCCAGGCCTCCTCCTTTCCTGTCCTCCGTTTCTGACCTTCTTCCTTGGTGATCTCTACTCTTGTTCTTCTACTTCTTGGATTTCCCCATTCCTGGCCCCCTTCCTTTCTGCTCTTCCCCGTTCCCAACCCTTTCCCTTCATGGTGTCTTCCCTTCTTGTTTACCTTCTTTTCTACCGTCTTGGTCTTCTCCCTTCCTGGTAAACTTTTTTCTTGGTCTACTCCCTTTTTTGTCTTCTATTTTCTTGGTCCTCTCTCTCCTTCGACTTCTTCCTTTCTAGTCTTTCGTTGATCTTGTCCTTTCTTGGTCTTCTCCTCATGTGCTCTACCTTCTCCTTCTTTTCCCTTCTTGCTTATCTCCCTGCTTGGCGTTCTCCCTTCTTGACACTCTCTCCTTTTTTCGTTTTTCCTGGTCCTCTCCCTTTCGGTCTTCTCCTTGTTGGTGCTATTTCCTGTCCTTCTTCGACCTTCCTAGTCTTCCTTCTTTTTGTCTGCTACCGTCTTGGAACTCTCCTTTCTCCTTCTCCTACCCTCTCGGTCTTCTACCTCGTTAGTACTCTCCCTTTTCTTCTTCTCACTTCTTCGCCATCTCCCTTCTCCGTCTGCTTCCTCATGGTCTTCTCCCTTCATCGCTTTCCCTTCTGTTTCTTTTCTCACCTTTTGTCTTCCTCTTCTTCGTCGTCCCTTCCTCACAACCTAATTTCTTCTCGCTTCGTGGTCTCCTTCCTTCTTATTCTCCCTTGCTCTTCGTGTCTCTCCATAGTCGCTTTTCTTCCGTTTCTTCTTAATTCTTATTGTTTTTCTCCATATTTTTCTCCCTTCTCCATTTTTCTCCTTCTCCCTCCTTGGCTCCATTCTTCACCCCTCCATTGCACACCTCATTTCTTCTTCTACGTCTGCCTCCCTTTTCTTTCTTGCGTTAATCTCGAGCCTTCACAGGGTTAGCTAGCCCTGTATGTTGCTGCTACACTCTTCTACCTACAAGATCTGAAAGACTAAGTTTCTCCGAGCTATTTCATTACAGCGTTTTTTTTCTTTTTAAAGCTCCTCGCATTTGCTTCCCCCATACATCGGTCTCCTTTGTTTTCCTTAGATGACCCTTTCACCTTGATTTTACAAGTCTATCGCAGACACTGCTCTTCCATCTTCAGCTGGACGGGGGCTGTTTACATGATCGCCCTGACTTCCTCGTTTCTAACTTTGTCATATTCTCCGCTTGCGCATTCTAGCATCTCTACAGTTTCTCCTGCCGTTGTTCGCCTTTTTCCACTATCATAGTTATGTCATCGCAAATGATATTCTCCAGTGGTTCACTCATAGTTATCAGGATGAAGGAGGCGCGTGGGGATGGTCCTTTGTGTTTCCCAACCCTGACATCTGTTGCTTTTCTTAAGCAGCGACGGTAGGTGTGACCGCCTTGGCTCTATCTGACTCGGTCTAAGAAATCATGATCGAGAACATGATGTCTTTTTTGTTCTCTAGTTCCAGCTCACCAGAGGGGATCGAAAACCTTCTGCGGGGCAACGAATCCTACGTTGCAGAACCTACGCATCTCTCGATTCTTTTCAATCCTTAGTCCATCTATGAAGATGGCGTTTAGTGTAGACCTCTGGGCCATGAACCCTGATGTTCTTGCAAATTAACATTCCTTAAGCTTGAGGCTATTGGCCATCCGAAGAGTAGCATGCCATCCGCTTTAAACCCGACCTCACATAACTTGAACATCCCATCGCAAACACATTCCATCTGTATATGGAAACCAATGTACTGCTCCCTACTCATCTAGGGTTCTTCTTCACGGATGTACAAGATGCCGCTACGTTTCTCATTCATTGACTTGCCAAGGCCTTTGGCTCTGTTCAAAGAGAAGCTACTATACAAACTCTGTGCAACTATGGTGCTCCTGCTTTGTTTGTATTAATATTAGCCACATTTCGAGCTCTGCAACAAGCTCACGATCAGATTTAGTGGTCTACATGAAGACACCATCGACATGAAAACATGAATGCAGTAGAGACCTCCCGTCCAACTTTCAAGTGTCACTCATGAAAACGTCATGCGTCAGTTGAAATGGAAAGAGATGGGAACGAAAGTTGACGGTCAGCAGTTACTCCACTTTCGTGAACACGGTATCCATGAGAAACGGACCGGCTTGTCATGCTCCCTTTACGCTTAGCGGAACGAACTCTTCCCGAAAAACCTTTCACAAATATCAATCCCTGCTAGCCCTAGAACTAACAATAAGAAGAGAGCGAGCCACATGAGGGGCGTACAAGTACCTCAAGGAAGTAGCGAAGAAGACAGAGAGCATCCATCTCCCAGCCCACTGTTCATTTTGAACCCTTCACCAAATGCTCCAGAGATCTCCAACTCTGCCGGAGTAGGAGAAGCACACGGTCTGCTTAATACAAGAACACTTCTGGAGGCTTTGCGATACACGCAGGTACAGACGGAAGGAGTACAATTAGAATGGATATGCCAGGTGAAATTGTGATGAACATTGAAGCACTGTTGCTGTCGACTGGATTTCCCAAAAAGAGCGACTGACGAGTCCGCTGTCCTTTTGCATCTTCACAAGAGTTGTGGGTGAAAAGGCTGATTCACTCCATAACCCATCGATGAATGGATGAAGAGGACTTCGATAGCTCGCGACAAAGTGAACAGAAACGTCATTCCCCACGAGAAAGTCGAAGATCACCAAAACGGCAGCCCACTGAAGTGTGTTGATGCATACATACGCACATACATATATATTGGATTGGATATTACTGTGTTTGTGGTAATTCAGTGTACTTTAGAATAATTAATCCATTTCGGAGTACTTATAAACATTCCAGAATATTTATAAGTATCCCATAATAAATGTCTAGTACTATCATTTGCTTCATCATTGCACCCGATTATGAACTTTCAATTTATTCACGTTTTCGTTTGCTTTTCAAATCACAGATGAAATGCAGAACTTAAAAGCAAAATATAAAGATGTAAAATACTGTTCTGCACCTCATGATAAAATTGCAGTCCGTTAAACTTGGATGAAAAAACATAAAAAATCCCATAAAAAATCGGATGTTAGTGCATACTTTATCTTCCGCCTGTATATTACACATTATTTCCTTTACGTTAGGTTTACTGACTTGACTATTCACAAAGTTAATTGGTAAAAAAACTCTTTCAGGTAATTCCCATGGAGACAAATCGATGAACTTCTTGCCGAACTCGCACATTGGACGAGGATCACAGAAAAATCCTCCATCATACAAAACATCCGGTTACGATTCGGATCAGGATCAACGTACAGTTTTTTTGACACTTTTTCAATCTTTTCAGAGTTGCTTTGAAGTTATAACTGAGCAGCTACGAGCAAGAAACGTTCGGATACTCACTGTTATCCATGGCGAAACTCGTTTTTACCTTCTTTTTTCGCTTTAAGCAAGCTGTTTTTGTCCTCATTTGAGTTTTCATTTCCTTTCAGCTGGTACACTCCTGGAGGTGAACAAGTGCATGCAGAAAGCGTGTCTGGAATTAAAAACGATTTCTGGTCAGATCAAAATCATGCGAAAGCGAATGGAAGAGGATGAAAGGGTAATCGGTTCATCGCTCCTTTTTTGTTCGATCCACATGCGAAAGAATGTCCACGAAAAAAACGCTTTCAATCAGCCCCGACTGTTTTTCGTTCACAGTCCAGACGGAACCAAATTCTTTTGTATTTCTTCCTGAGAAAAAAAAATGGGCACGACTATGAGGTGGCGGTAGGACCACTACCGCATTAACAGCAAACGAACAAGGTACGAAATAATCCCAATTTGTCAGTCCAGTCAGGACGACCCTAACCGATATTTACCCATAGGTACTCTTCGGTTAACCTACTGATCGTCGGGGCTATGCTGGCAAATTCACTTTAAACTGAACCCTGGTGACCACCCAGGAACCAAGAGCATTCTGTACAACAGCAATTCCCTCATTCCAATGATACACAGGATGCTCAGGGACCCCAGCTTGGTCCTTATTTTGAGCCAAACCTATAAAATTAGAGAGATTCTTCCAATGTCAGAATTGAATTTCGCTATCGTTGAAGATACGGAGTATAAGATGTAAAATGGCTTATAAGAAGATGATTGTCAATGATATGAGATGACCATGAGATTCTGATTCTGATTGATATGAGATGATTTCGAAGTGAAATGAAGGAGTATCAAGGGCTCAACAAGTAAAAAGCAAATATTTTGAAGCGACCAGAAAGAACAACGAGGAAACCGTGAGCCAGATTGGTACACCGAGAATACCTCCCAAGGCGGGAAAATTGGCCCGACTGATTGACTACTGACCCTTGACCTATCACCAAAGTGACCTGTAACTTTTGAGAGACCTTCTCGAGTAATTTAGCTGTATTGACAGATTTAGTAAGAGGTAGTTGAACATTGCTTTGATAGACCAGATTGCCAAGAACCGATCTGGCGATCTAGCTAGCAAGGCGATCTGTTCCTTAGTCGGGGGAATGACGAAATGAATTCGAGGACCCTCTTCGAAATTAAACAATCCGAAGAGAGTTCCGAAACTAGTTAGTAAGAGGTTTCCCGGTCACAGCGCAAAACTAGTTGATAGGATTCCTGTGTAAGGTTTGTTTCACCTCTGAGGAAGGGCAGACTAGGCATATTGTATGTAACGATAAGTACCATTCTCAATGGGAGATTGTAAAGAACATTGCACCTAAAAGGCCATTGAAGGGATGCAATATGGAAGCCTACTCAAGGTATACAGGCGAAGAAAAATAGTTAAATGGAAGCCATGCGGGTCACAACCAGAATTTCCAGGAAGGACGCACATAGTGGTTACTGCACACCAAAATCCTTGGCTGCGTTATTTCTATAGTTACAATTTTGTAGAGAATTCCTTCTTATGAATCGCTTCTTGGCCATCCTTTGTAACAACATCTTCACCACCAGTGTTACCAGTAATTTCTGATTCTCATATCAACTCATTACTCTACCTTCGCTTTTGTATCTGTAATTCCTGATACTTCAAATCTTCGAGCTACTTAATCTTCATGGATATGCAAAATAGTTGCCGAAAACGATCTCAAAAAGGGGGCCTATTGCCATCGTGAAAGCAATTGAACAACTCCTTGTAGGGCAAGGTCAGCCAAAAACCCGACGATCCCAAAAAAGACTTCCGCTAGCCCCATGTGGCACAATTACGGGAGTCGGGAGAGCCGTCATAGTTGGGGGCACCTTCGTGTACTTCGCACGTAATGGTACCCGTCACAATGACAACTTCGAAAAAAGTGGGAATTTTCATAGTCATCAATCCTCTCAGTGGTGCCACTTGGATTTAAAATCCCAGCGGGGACTTGAATTTAAAACAATAATGATTATAAAATCCCACACTCTCTCCGAAAGATGAGATTCGAAATTCGATATTATCAGCTGTGAAAACTCGTATTTTTCTAGGATGAACAAGCAGAAAACGATTGGAAATTTGCAGCGATGGTTGTGGATAGATTATGTTTATTTATATTTACAATATTCATTGTTGTCTCAACATGTGGTATCATGTTCAGTTCGCCACATCTAATCGCTTGATACATATGTAACAGATAAGAGATTAGAAAAAATAAACTATTTATTATATGTATGTGATACTCAGCCTAGTCTAAACAGCAAATGAAATAAAAATATAAGGCCGATTTCATAAACGATGCTATCAGCGAATTATTGCATTAGATGTTTCTCTGATGTGAGCAATAACAATAAGTATTATTAACTTCACAAAGCATCATAATCTCCGAGAAAACAATCTCTCATCTTTGAACAAGTACATATATTGCACAGTAAAACAAAGTAATTCAGGAAAAGTAAAAAATAAACGAATTGAGAAGAATGATAAACGAAAGAAATATGGCTGAATTGAGCTGGATCGATCTCTGTTTTTCTCTATGATCATCTCTAGCATAGAGGTCGGACATCCTTGAGTGAACCTTCGTTTTCCACCATACCCAAATCATCTATAGCACATGCACCCTGATTCGTTCGAGTATTCTCACAGAGGAAGATCACCTGTAATGATTAATTTGAGGCGATTTCAACTATGATGACTTTATAAACTTTGCAGCTCAGTTACAGCTGCAGATCAGTTACTAGAGTAGCCGCTAACTGTTCCAGCGCTTGCTGCTATGGGAATCTGGCCGGCAATTTACACCTTTTTAACAAAGCTGACCAGGTGGTCCCTGAGGCACACAAGAAAAGATACGGTAAAATAGCACTGCATGTTACCAGTAAGTCATTTTTTGGACCAGATACTCAATCGTATTCGTTAGAGCCCGGGTAGAACCAAAATATACGGTACACCAGAGCCAGAAGAAAAACTTGAGAAAAATGTTTCTCTCTAGCGTCACAAAGTCATCAGGAAGTCGTCAAAAAGTGAAAGCTAATGAGAGCGGAAGAAAAATGTCATTACTTGTTGGATTGAATCGAGTCAATGAAAAAATCTTCTTCCGGCTACTTCCCTTACTACCCAGCCGCCGAAATTATCGACTATGTCAATCTCATACTCATTCAGCCATCATAATGGTTTTCTCTATGGGAATCCAAACCAATCGGTTTCCGCCTTACCAATTACTCGAAATGACTACTCGAGTCCTATCGGGTGCTTACTGCTTTCAAAGGTATTAACTTGGAGATACGATGTGCCCAGAAAAGAAAAGTGACTAACCCTATCAGTTCCTTTTGGACATCGGAAACTGGCCGTCTTCCATACACGATCAGACACGCTAACAAACTTGTCAGAGCTGAACGGACACGTCTCGATGGAGCTGCAGCATCCTGAAATACAAGTACTCGGTCATGAGTTATTTAACAACTAATACTCTAATCCCAGAAGCAGAAAATACGAAGAGGAGTATCTACCGCACTTGCTATACAGAGATTATATCAATAACAAAAGCTAGTTTCGAGCTAACTAAAGTAATCATGCCTTTCAAATGCTTTCTACCCTTTGACTTTGCCTCCTATTAATCTACACACTACTACATTCATTACTATTAGGTAAATCAGCAGTATTCATGAATGAAAATATAATTATTTTCATGACTACGCCAAGGGAATCGATAAACGTGCACTAGGTCGCATGGTATCGATTAAATTTCAGTGTACGGTACTCAAGCAACTAATCACGAGATTAAAGTTAATAAGGATCTTCCTTCTTCGATTGGCTTTTTACGTCTTACTATTTTTGAATTGTATTTTTAACTGCCTTTGCCTACCTTTGAGCTGTACACCGTGCGTGCCCTCGTAGTACTGGAAACGTAACCGGGATTTTTCGGTGAATGGTTCCGTTGTTGCTTCAAGGCCGGCCATTTCACGCGGAAATAGGAATGTGGCCGCGTAGAAGTCACCTTCTAAAAAAAGTGAGTCTTTTCAAAAGTCATACGGTAGTGTGCCAAAAAGAAGGTCTCCCTTCCGTTTTTGAAATTACTGTGAAGTTTTGGAATGACGTCCAGTAAGATGCGATTATAGTCGGCTCAACCACTTACCACTGCTTTCTTTAACACCAGTCACTCTGTTCATGAATTGCCCATTTACAACTTGGAACTTCGTAGTAAGTCCACGAATTGATTGTGATTGATAGGCGTCCTTGTAATGGCAAGTATTTCCTAAAACGATTTGCAATTTTCTTAAACTATAATATTTCGAAAACAAATTAAAATAAGTCTCATTGGTACTAGTTACCATTTTCAAAGTCGCATTTCGTCGCAGAGCAAATACTCTCGCTGAACTTTTGAGTTTTTGTTCCCTTGGCATGATTTTGTCCACTGGACCTGTAATTTTAAGGGTTGTAAATATACCGTAGTAGCATACTGTAGTAAGTTTGTCCCTTGCAACAGATTACAAAAACCTTAGAGACAGGGGAGAAACTTGTTGGGAAGTAGATTTCGCTTACGTTTTAGTGCTCTTGATCACAGTTTCCTCGATCTCTTCCCGGGGAACCTGCTTCTGTGACCCAAATGCTGCACGGCCTCCCTAAAAAGCGATTAAAATAAAAATTTACAGACAATGATTCATATCCCCAAAACGTTATCCCATTCGGCATCTATGTTTTCCACACAACTAAACGACTTCTACGCTTCATTGAAGTTGCTTGTTCGGGCGACTCTCGAAATGATTCCAAAGCATCTAGTGAAACGGGGTCAAGTCGATACGTAGTCTCGCCTTAAATCCTTCTTCACCAAAACGTTCGGTGGCCGATTTTGCACTTGAACCTTCTCCAACCGATGTCAGCTTCGCTCGTAACTCCTTAGCGCTCTTCTCCGTTGATTTAATGGCGGTCTCGAAATTGCTCTGAAAATGGATAGATTTTGAAAAACCCAATGCGTCAGTACATTATATGAAATTTCATTTGAAAACTAAATAAAGTTAAAATTTAGTACTGTTATAGACGCTATGAAGTATAGTATGGCTATAGGGTTCGAGTTATCAATGTAAGACTATCTAGTAAAGCATGAACATGAGATGAGTCCAAGCTGAGTCATTGGAACAACCGGTGTGACGAGCTTCCCAGGAATGTCCGTAAAGACGGGAAGTGAAAAGAACTAGGAAAGCAGGATCGAAATGGAATAAAAATGAAAGGACCACCGCATTAAAAAATGAAAAGCTAGAAAGTTGAAGAAAAGCGAAAAATCGAAGGGAAAATAATAAGAGATCATCCAAGGCTCAGATCAAAAGAGGAATCGATAAATCATTCCGAGAAGATATAAATCAAGGAGAAGAGAAGGAATGAATACATACCGAAGAAGATGGAATAAAGGATGATCTTATCTATACTGAGCATAATGTTAAGAAACGAAGAGAATGGACCTCTGATAAGAGCAGCGTAGAAGGGTGAAAATGAAAACTATTGAGAAGAAAAACGAGTTCCAGCTCCCATTTTAAGTTTGGATGGATCTAACTATACTCGACTTACACAAGTTCCCCTTTGGTGAACCCTGTTCATGCAAATCGGATAAAACCATTTAAGCTACGCTATTTCATGGCAGAATCTTTGAACAGCATGTCATCAAGGGATCTTCTTTTGTTCTTGAGCTGTTTCATCAACATTTGTAGGAGCAATAGTGATCATGTACTTCTGAGTAATAAGCAGTAACTCACCTCTTCTGCAGTTGCTTCTTCGACACCGTCTCCAGAAAGGGTCTTCTCTCCGTGTGCGGCAGATTTACGATTTTCATTGACTTCAGCAGCAGGACCAAACTCACTAGGCCTCTTTTCAGCTTGTCGTTCTAGTTGTGAAATGCTTCCTTGTAGTTGTTGTTCGTCTTCCTAAACAATACTGCCACTTTACTATTTACAAGTACCACTCAAACCAAGTTTGAGATTGTCGACAGCGTTCCATAAAAGCTTATACACAAAAAAGCAAATAAATCGCTAAAATTAAAACTTTTCAACGAATTTCGTCGAAAACAAGCTGACCCTAATCACTTTTGCTTCCTCAAATCAATTATTGATTGATTGTGAGAGCACTGTTCATAGATTTCTTTGCCTTACTCCCATTTAAACCTTAACATGTCTGATTACCCACCGTTTCTTCGCACTCGGGACCATTTCTGTCGTAAGAAACTTCGATGTCATTGAGAATTGCCATATCCCCATTTTCTCCGATGAAGTTCGATGCCACGAATACGATCTGAACAGACAAGCTGAAGATTGGTGAAGATTCCCCGAGCTTCCAATAACCCCGAGCGAGGACTCACATCGACCAGGGACGTCTTTGGCAGAACAAGTTCAGTTGCCGTCAGTCCGTCGGAAGCGGGGAATTCTTGACAATTGAGAAGAGGATTGTGAGCAACTCCAGCGTTCGGGAATGATTCCCGAAGACAGACTTGGAGAAGAACATTCTCCGATGTCCAATGCCTAAAAAGAAATTATTCAATCATTAGTGAATTTCCGATGTAAAGTAGTAAATCTTGGTAACGATTTATGTGATTTAAAAGAAAAATTCTCATCTCAATAGTAAGCAGTTATAACTGCAATTACTCTAGAAGTTGGATAAAAAGAAGTCGAAATGGGAAAAGTAGTACAATGAGGGATTACTAACTTTGCTCGCACGGTAATGTCACTAGCCGTGCATCCGATCGAACACGACGAGAACTGAGCCTCATCAGACGGTGCCGCTCCACGAGCATACGCCACCAGATAGCTTCCAGCTGAAAAATAGCTCTGATTAATGTTACTGCTATTAGATCAGTGCTGCCTACAGCTGTAACAAAAAAAAAACATTCAAAAAGCGATAGAACGTGGAGAAAACAGTTTCTTGAGTTCACTTTCCAAAATAAATCCGCTAGAGCTATTGGATAAATAGGGTGCGATCATGTTCTAAACGTAATTGAACTTGTGCTATGAATATTTGCATAAGGAGATTGACCGATTGAGAATCCAAAGTGATTTCTATAGATGTCAATTTCACTTTTATGAAACTGTTATAGACTTCGTTATCTTTTAGATTTTTAGATTTTTTGGGGGTAAATAATTGTACAGGTGATGAAATTCGCTATGAACGCTCAAGGTCTATCTCCTAGATTGATCTGGAACGAGTTCGATAGCTACTTGTCAAAAAGAAACTTCCGCCAAATGGGCTCATATGAAATACGACACGTTTAATACATAGTCCGTGAACATCCGCTAGTAAGTATTGACCCGTGAAAAATAGGACTTTTAGATTCCTTGGCAGACATGTGGCTCATCGACAACTGCTCGTAGTAGACCATTTTTATTGGAAGTCAATCTTTACGATCCTATTTTCCAGGCCTATGACATAATCAAAATCTTAACCCACATTGACGTACCCTCAGCTGTGTGTAACGACTTAAGTCGCATGAAGGTCAGAGATCGAGCGCAACTATGAAAGTGAATCGGAGTACGAAGCGACTGCTCTGGTGACCCCCAATGAACTCATAACTAGCGTAAGTGTCCAGATTCCCGGAATCGCTCCGGATACCATTACTTTGGGCAAAGCCTAGGTGGTAATGTACTGCATTAGCACAGGGTAGAACTACACAGTTCGAACAGATTTTCAATTGTTTTTACGATGAACCATCAAGAAGCAGAGGAAAGTGACGTGCTATTCGGTAGTGCAATGGATCAGTACAATAATCACAGGAGGACCTATTTCCCAGATGGAGTTCACCGAACGTTTTACTATAAGTTTAGGTTCCTCGCGATGCCAATGCTCACGCTCGTATCGATGTTGAGCTTGGAGTTTGGGAAGCGATTTCCAAAAATAAAATGGACGTTCTCAGCAAAGCTTGATCTGAAACTTGTTCGTAGTTCTCGTAGTTCCGACTCAAGTGAAACTGAGACTTCATGGTGAACCTAGGAGGTGAATCGAACCCCATGTCATGGGAGTGTGCGAAGCGCTCAGCATAGCCCATGGAGGAGATACTCTGTGTGTTAGGCTTAAATGTCTTCAAAATAAGAAGTAGATCTGAAACCAAATGGCCTACTTCTACGTTTCAATGATGGTGAATAGGGAACGAGTCATCTCCTACACCATTGTAATTACTGTTTCTGTCAATTTCTTCTGCTTGCATATTGTTTTACAAGCTCCGTCGATTTCATTTTGCTAATTTTCCTATTGACTAACCAAAAGCGGGTTCAATGACTCAAGTTTGAGAGTTTGAGGTAGTTCCTGAGGTAGGTGAGGTAGCAAGACTTTGGAGTCCTATACCTCTACTACCATTCGTTCCATTCGTTCTATAATTTGTTTTGACTTGATATTTTGTTGTTAACTGCTGTTTTAACGCCGCAGTGCGCGAAGCGAAAGTCTCACAAAATTGGCGATTTGTGGGCAAAACTCCAGTCTCGGACGGGACTCGAACCCGTACTTGTCCTTTCCGGGGACCGTNNNACGGTCCCCGGAAAGGACAAGTACGGGTTCGAGTTCCGTCCGAGACTGGAGTTTTGCCCACAAATCGCCAATCTTGTGAGACGTTCTATAATTCTCCACATCCCCCCACCCCCCTCACCCAAACTCAATACAAGTTCCCTACCAGCTGTCGATAAGGTCATGGCTTATCGATAAACCCCTTGACCTCATTAGAAACTGACTTTCTAAAGCCAGTATCGTTCATTAATCTCTAGCAGTGCCGTTCGGACGAGTTTTTCTCAGTCCATTCGCAGCTGCAATAAAGTAAACTTAATGATGTCGTTCGAACAAACTGATCATGGGGTGTGGTTTTCAACAAACACAGGGACGTTCGAGTAAATCGGGTTATCCGGTTCATGTGGGTGGTCTTTATCGACAAGGTGATAAAGAGCGCAGCGGAACCCGCATGGTAACCTATCCGACGATGGCGACGATTTTCTCACCGTTGTATCGCGTCTATTTATGCGACGGTTTGATGATGAGCAACGCTTATCCGCATTCCGTTGCGATTGACCGACGATTCACTATGCGCCCCAATCGGTCTGAATTCGTGAGTGAGGCCGTTGACGACTGTTTGACCCATCTGAGACTCATGTCACAAAGCGCCACAAATCTATTCGCACTTTTATAGGCGTAGTTTTACGAGGACAACAGTCGATCGGACACACACACGCACAATCCCACTTACAATAGTCATTGAAGTGAAGTCCCCGGTACCGCTATATATGGTGGGCAGGATGCATAGGGATAGTGGAGGTACCATAAAACAGAATATTCCAAATGAAAAGTGGATCTGTCTAGATTCGTACATTTATATGGCTTTGTTCGGAATCCGGTGTTATATTTATAAAATCGATCGATGGTTCAGATAACGCCATGCATACAAATAACACCAGGACGACTTCAATGATATAAATAGCTGCCCCGTTTGAGATGATAGAAAATCACGAACATGAGACTCAGAACATGTACTCTCAGACTTGATCGAACACTGAACTGAACTGGATTGGAAGAGGGTAATCTGCTCCGAAAATCTTCCAGAGAACGTCGAGAATCATGATATATAAACTACGTGAACCCAGCTAATTGAAGTTCGAAAGTCGGTTTGTTGACAGTATTGAATAGTCAAGGGTGTATTGTGCAGTATTTACCAGTAAGAATTCGGATATAATTATTCGAGCACTCCCAACCCAAAAAGCAGGACAAGAGAAGGCAGAAAAGTGGATATTTCCGGTTTATCACCACCTACGCCTGTTGATACTTCTCTTCTGCATACTTCTCTGTCTTGAAAATCGTATGGTTCTTGGATCCAACAAAGGATTATAACGAATATGTTCATGAAGAATCTTGAAATCCAATGAAACTCCTACATAAGTCAGTACAACCTACCAGGGGCAGGTGCATTCCTGAATACCGTAGTGTTCGGTGCTCCAGTTCCAATGTGCCAGTCTAGTTGATCATCTGGAGGTGGAACATTGGCCCAACAACATGGACGGCCATCGAATTTACATGTCAGGGCACTTCCTAAAATTTTTATAAAACAGTTACATGTTATTGTTACATGTTGTAACGCAGTGTATAGGTCACAAAGACCAGCTTACAGTAGTCGGTCGCTGATTTCTGAGTTGCATCCTACAGTGAATTCTCAAAACTTTACTATACTAATATTCAATCTTCATGGTTGAGGAGCACGGTCTTATTAAAAGTTCTAACTCTGTTGAAACAAAAGGTGACGGCGGTTTCTCTGTCATTGAATCTACCGGTATGGTCCATACCTTGGCTGCAGGGAGCTAGAATGTAAGCAAATTTGGTGGCCGCTCAGTTTTCAAAGTAAACAGGCTGATATATGGTTCCGGCTAATCGTAGTCCGAAAGGTTTAAAAGGGAAAATGATTCCTTTGAGTGGATACGACTTTCTGGAACTCCATAGTCTACAAATACTCTCTAAATGAAGGTGTCCAGGGATAGGGCAATTCATTTGAATAGGATTGGGAACTTTGAGTAATGGGTTAGTAGAATATCCCAGCGCCCCGTATGCTCCACTTTCCCCAGTCAAGTGCGCTACGGAAATGAAGATATGAACGATCGCAGGGGAGACTCAGGTTCTAGCGTGTTCCCTCTCTTTTAATGCGGCCGAATTAGCTTCCGGCTCAACTAGGAAATCCCTTTGTCGCGGCGATCGTAGAAAATGGACAAACGGAAAACATGAAGGCGAGAAAGGCAACAACACAGACGAGTACAAATCGGATTAAATTAAATACGAACCGGAATTCACTGGACCTCCACCTTCAGCATTGTAACCATCGGCACCAAATTCAGTCAGAGTTACTCGATCACCGAGTCCAACTGAAAATGTACACAACACTAGAATTGTTGGTGCTGCTATGTGCCGCATCTCACAGGATATAATCACAAGCTATGAATTCGAGCTGACCATATATATGTTTGAGATAAAATTTTGTATCACCGATCAAGCGGTTTTTTCTCGTTGCGGGTTTCTCGACCCAGTTTTTGTCCCAGTCCTCGGGCTGATCAGATAGTTTTCTCGAGGGCGGGGCCCGTGCAACAACCGGGAGAGAACGGGTCGACGCCGAGTCTCGGATAAAACCATCACTTTCATTTTCACGAGGTACCATATCATCACAGATGTCTTACCTTTTCTCTCTCTCTCTCGCTCAGACTTAAATGAGAACTTTAAATCCGTACAAAAGCGTTGAAAAGGAAAAAAAACATCAATATGAGACTGGCGATCGTGAAAAAGTGACGGGCATACTAGCGGAAAACTAATTTCAATCAGTCTTGGCTAATGAGTCGGATAGGAAAGTGCGGATATCTTGCGGAACTAAGGATGTCGTAAAAGGACTTTTTCCGATCCAAAATAATCCTTAGAACGTCAACTTCGAATAAAGAAAAGGCTTCCACCAACAATAAGGTGTAGGAGGTACTATGCAGTACAGAATGCACTCCCAAGAGTTACCAGTACGGATTAAGGAATACTTTAGTTAACAGTAACAGCCAATTCACAGAAATCCAACTTCGAATTACGAAATTCCAGTGTACGGATGGTAACAGCTCCACAACAATTCAAAGGTGGCCTTTTCTGAAGGTGAAGACAAAAACTTACATAGAAGACATTCGTGCAAGTAAATTTCTACAAACTTTCTACTTCGGAGTACTTGTAAAATTCAGAAGTTACAGTTGTAGTGGAACGCTCCAGAAAAAGGATTTAAGCTTTGGAGTTTCCCCGTAGTAGCAGGTCCCAAGGATATCGGATAAAAAAGAAACCCGTATTTAGAAGATGGACTGGTCACACAGTTTCACTCGGCGTGCGTCCTACTTCCGTTCTGAGAAGAGACGAAAAAAATGACATAGACATGGTGCACTTGAAGTGGCGGAGAAAATAGCGCGCAAATAACCACCACCTCCGCCAACGTTGCCCAATTTAATGACCTCAGCGAAAGTCAACCTCCACCTAATTGTCTACGAAGAGAAAATTCCATTAAAACGAACACATGTTCGAAAACACAGTGAGAAAATCGTAACAAAACGAAATGAGCATGAAGTTGGTCCCGATCAAGCTCGAACTCATAGAAGGCAATGATTCAGCGATAACTCGCGCATAATATAACTTACCATGAGATTTCGCTGCAATTGGAACGGTTGGACCTCGCCCGGCAGCGGCAACTCGAGCCGCCTGGAAGGTAGGTTGTGCGACGGCACCCTGAGATGATAATCGTTAAGGGGATCAAAAAGAACTTTCTAGTAAGGTCAATGTTTTGGTCAATTGGTAAGGTCCAGTAGTAGAACAACAAACACTCCAAATGTTAAATAGTAAGAGTAAAAGGGCGAAAAACTCTTTCGCATAGTAACCGGTATCAGAAAACCTGTGCTATCCTTCAGTTTCAAGAAGACCACGGAAGAAAAGACAACAATCACTAGTAAAAAGTCTATGAGAAAACAGTTCAAGTAAAAATACATTAAACATTGTCCTAGTGCTGAAAAAGTTAAAAAGCAAGTACAGTTTTCGACTAGTACAGTATTCAAGAACGCTCCCGGAATTGCGACCCTCTCAAGAAAACCGCGAAAGAATCGGCAAAATATTACTATCCGATCCTATTCCTATTGTCAAAACGCTTAGGCAGTATCCGTCACTTGTAATGCGGTACACAATACTACCATTTTACTAATGTCCATTCAAAAAGACCATAAAATAATACGAAAGGGCTGGTAAGGAGATATTTCTCATTTCGACGGTCGAAACGAGTTGGGAAGCACGCTTCAGTAATGTTGCTGAGAAAACTGCTCTTACTTTGCATTAACAACTTATTTTCAGGAAGCTGTAGTTACGGAGAGAAAACTATCAAGACTTATCAAATGTTACAATTATCTTTCACGCGATTTCTAAATTCAAAAATAAGTATGACCATATCAATTTTAATCGCTATTTTTTTACAAAAGTAATGGAAACGAGTAAATTAGAGCTCAAAACACATGAAGTAATATTCACCGGTGCTTGTGGAGCCGGAGGTGGTTGTGCAAATTGAGCCGTTGGTGCACCGAATTGTGCTTGACGTTCATTTGTGGGGAAACAACCGTATACGACGGAAACTAGAAGAGTATTTCATAAGAAAGTTTTACGATGTACTAGTAAAACAAACCAGAAGTCTTCAAAAACAATTTTATTGAATTCTATTGGAAGTTGCGATTGAAATTTATACTTGTGTCATCACATTACTTTCGAGTACGCCATCAATTACTGTGTTGCATTGACGACGGTCTCTGCGCACTCTCACCCTACTATTCACGTCATAAATACTGGTCTTAATTCGCTACGTTGATCGCGGTGAACTTTCGATAAACTCCGAATGAAAGGTAAGTTTATACCCCGAATCAGTTACTACACAGTAACTTTACCTAACAAAACCCGAAAGTACCTACAGCGATCGAAAATCCGGGATCATTACAACTTTTATAACTGTTTACTGCGAAAAAACTCGGTGTGACCGAGGGATTTCCTGGACTGACCGGAAAAAGGCAACATAAACCCTATAAACTCGGAGGATGAGGATTCTCCGGTTACTCTTTGTCTGAAAACAGGGTTTTCCGACCTACGTATGCCCTTCCGGCTTTTTCAAGAGATATTCATCGCGAGAACTGAATAAAAACTATAATAAATTCGATATATAAATCAGATAGATAGAGCTGAGGCTCACACAATGGGAAAGCTCATAGAGACAGGTATGGAGAAAAGAACGATGAAGTTCGATTTTTGAGTGACTTCAATAAAAACTGACAGGCATACCTTCTAAAGAAGCCAGGAATAGAAGCAAGTGCTTCATTGTAGAAAGTAAAAGACCAAGTGTACGCCCGTGGAGATAAGGGATAAGGCGGGAAGAGCGCGACGTTCGAGGCGGAGCGCCAGTCCGGCGTTGAGATGCTGCGTCCTCGATTCCACTGACCCACTTCGCGGCGCGACGATCACTGCTTCTTAGCTGGGCCCCTCCTTGATCGGTTTGCGGTGTGGCTGTTGTATGTATGTATGTATGTAGGTGGGTGGTCGCCCGGTTGGTTGGTTGGTTGGTTGACTGATTGAAGATGTGTGGTTCGGTCAATGCTCGAATCTCCTTCATTCTCCGCCCTAATCTCGTCCATCGCCCAGCGTGACCCCTCCCACGACGGGAATCCCGGAATTCGTGATTCGTAACCGGATCCACGAGGCGTACACCTTTATGACACATGTATCAATTCGCATAATCGCTCAGACTCAACAAGAGCCAGAATTCACCGGATAAGCATCTCTGGCGACTGATGGCGCGGCATCCGCTACCGGTGTCTTGCCTATGGATGAGATAAGCCGCGGAATCTTTGAAATCACCAATGGGATACGGAAAGGCACCTGTTTGATGCCCCTGAACTGATCACCCCAGTTGCCTTGGCTAGTGCCATCTGAGAAGAGACAGCAATCTGGTCATGTGGCAAGGTCCGTACGGTCATGTAAGCGACAGGCAAAAAGAAGAATGTGCTAGAAACCCTCTTAACATTGGAAATTTGCCCTAAATGGGTCAACAACAACGCACTTTTTGGAACGAAATCACTTTCACACTAATTTTAGAATTCCAGCAGCGATCATCCAGGACAACGAACTTCTATGACAGGCATGGAGGCCTCTGAGATATTTATTGCCTAAAATGAATCCCAGCAAGTGGATTACTGTAATATTAGCTAGTTTGGGTACCCCGAAGTCGTACAGTATTCAACTCTGCTTTATGTTCCATGAAAATATTGTTGGGACACGGATTCGAAGCCAGCAGCCGGCTTTAACGAGGTCGGACGAGTTCCCTTTTACAATTCTTTTGTAAAAAAAGAGTCATTGAAAACATTAGAGAACGCTCAATGCGCCCTCCATAACTGGAATCGGAGATGCTGCTACGAAGAGACGATTTCACATTCGTCATTCATTTGTTGTCGCTTTTGTTTACCACTTTGTTGCAGTATGTGGCGGCAGTGTCCGACAAGTTACACAGCAAGTGGTAAACACTGGGCAGTAAGCCCAGTTGGTTACTGGTTTATGAATAGTTTCTCGAGTAACATTCACTTAAGGCTAAAAGTTGAGATCACACACAAAACCTCCGGCGCTAAGGATGGACTCGGCTAAGTTGAGTGATGTACCCTTCAGCCTGGCTTATACGGTCAATATGGAACAGCTTGAAAGAATTCTCGTCATTTCATTGAAAAATTATTCTGTTAACTTGGAAGCAAGAAAGGCCTTTGGAACTCCTGGAAAAGACCACAGTAATACTCTACAGATGGCTTAAATCGTACATGATGTATGGCGGCATCGTATTTGGAAGGAAGACGATTTCATGGAATAAAAATCAGAATACTTTTTTTAAAAAGAGTTTTCGCTAATCAGGAAGAATTTTTGACGCCAAGTTCCCGATGTTGCATGATGTTCGAGTCATCGGATTCTACTTATTTACTTTTTCACGATTTTTCTAACCAGGGGTCATCAACACAAAGGAGAAAAACATACCAAAAATAAGAAAAGGCAAACAGGGGGCACGTTAATAAACCACGACATTGCCTGAGGATGCAAGGTGTTGAAAAATTTCATTAGGACAGTAAACTATACATGACCCGGCTCCTGTTGGATGCAAACGAAATAATGGTTCCGATCAAATTGCCCTATACGCTAAAGACATGAAACTATTGGTTTATTTATTTATGTGCTCAATGAAAATGCTCACATGTCGCATTACCACTTTGAAGAAGTTAACATACTAGGCTGTCAAACTCAGAACACAGAGAGATGACATGTATTGTGATGCCATCATCTAGTTTGGGCCGACCCGAGAACATCCTGAGATAATCACTCGTTTTTCGTACCACTACGGTCAGTAAATGGAAGAAATGTAATCGCAAATAGCGATGCAGTAGTGTAGAGGCGGTATCCGTATACTGAGGGGACCAAACAGATGTAAGCAATTAGCAGAATTCCCCATATAGCGAGTTGACCAGAAATGAGAAGCGAGAGTTGCAATCTACTGTAATAAGCAATGCTGTGAGCTGTTGTTTGAGCTGTTTCCAATTGACCTGGCTCTTATCAGTCCTCACGCTTCCTCTGATCCTTAGGGAGACGGGCGTTAGGAACGATTTTGGGTAATCGATTTGCCGCATGCGGCTGTCGCGGACCACTCATCCGCCGTTATTACAGCTCTAGCGTTCTTCATACAGCTCAATCGATATGCGATCATTATTTTATGCATAATTCTACTATTAGTTCTTTTGTTCTTGTATTTCTTACCTACCGCTGCATCCTGCT